AATATACAGCATAAATCATAACAAAACATGAAAATCATAAAGCGAAAAACAGACATGCGTGGCATTTACCTGGCTTCTGTTCGGCGGCCTTTCTGTAGCACTGCAAAGCGTCTCTGAACTGAAAGTAGTGTTCGTACAACAGACCGAGATCGATCCACGCCGAGTACAGCTTTTCGTCTAACTGAATCGCGCAAACGAACGCTTGCAGTGCGTCCATCGGCTGCTGTTGCTGCTGATACAGTACTCTGAAAAGCAGACCTGACCACTGGAAACTGTCTCCAGTAAGAAGATGACAAAGATAATAATGCCGCAACCCATCACGATTATTTGTTGGCGGTAATAAACATGTGATGACTATAACAAGCATCACGATGGTAGTTTGATGCTGAAGATGTGATGATGATGATATGACTGGGACAAGGGCGTCGACCTTGATGGTTATAACAATGTGACGCTAATTACATAATGACGATAACAATAAAAATGACGGTTGCGATAGCACAGTCGTGATAGTAATAACGACGACACTGACGAAGATGGTGACAACGTTCACGCCTATTTAAGTCTGTTTATTGTTCTTATGGACTTAGTATAAACGTAGTGGGCTATATCTAATAACGTTTAAGAACAAATCATAATTCCAGACGTAAGATACAAAATCACTTAAGAGGCAAAAATTATACTATCACAATGATTTGACAATGACTGAGATGACAATAGTGCAAACAGCGATAGCTACGACAAAGTGATTACAAAGACAGTTATCACGGTGATAGTGAGGGAGGTAAATATTAATATGCGATGGCGATAACAATGATTATCATGATAGCCATGTTGGCGAAACACATTGAAATGAGATGATTATTTACACACTGACAGCTGTGCGAACGAAACGCTCACATGGCTACCTTCATTTCGCGATTCTGCCTGTGCACTGTCAAATTAGAAAAGTAAAAACAACTCGAATAAGTAACATAACATAGGTACAGTCAGAAAATTCAGTTCATCAGCGAACTCATCAGCTGAGCACTTCCGGCGGGAGGGTAGCACCAGACTAATATTCACACGTTTGATAAAAGATTTTTTCAACCGTGACCTGTCAAATGGCATAATCCACCATAGCCACAGAGGATGCTTACCCAATGGAGCACCAGGTTTCGGCACTAGACTCAGATTTGTCGATCGAATGCCGATAGGCGACAAAGGCGTCGTGCGCGCGGCCAAAAACGGAGAAACATCTTTAACAGGCAAAAGAATAAATCTGAGCGTTCTATGCTCGCAGACATTCATTTTTCACCTTCCCAAGTAATAATAACTCTTGCCAGAGGTAGGATCCAGCTTCAACGACTCTTGAAGACAACTAATAGCCATATTCAAACGAGAATTTTTATCGCCCAGAAAATCACTTCTGTATACAAGCCACCCTAAAAGACAGAATTATAATGAATCATAAAAAAATTCCTACACAAATTCGCACCCCTGTCAAAGTTAAAAGGAAATCATTCCAATATTCAGATTTTGATTTATTTACACGAAACTGTCAGCCAATTAATGTCATTAATTAGGACGATTCAAGCGAGGAAAACAGTAGCCTATTTAGTGCAATTTACGTGGCATCCTAACGAAACACTTAGGCTGTCAAAATAATCATTTATCCATCTGTATTTCCCCTACCGAGCATTCAGTAATAAACAAAGAAATCACCAATTCATAAGTTCACATTTAAGCACATCTTTTATGAGAACTGGAGCTTTGGTGATACTGGAACTGAACTTTTAAATAA